ATTGACTTATGGACAATAGATTATGTTTCAATCCTTCAACTAACAGAACATTAGAAATAGAGGGTAGGTTGCCATTACCTATAGTTCCAGAGACAATGATCTTGCCCTTCTGGTTCCCTCCAAATTTCACGTCCCCTCCAGATCTAAGTTCCAGACTTTGGAACATAGACCTTTCTCCCGTCATGTGTCGTGAGCATCCAGAGTCCAGGTACCATGATTGGTGTCCTGAATTTGCTGCTAAGGACATCTGCAACAGGGATTATTTTGTCTTTAGGTACCCAGATCTTCTTGGGTCCTTTAGGGTTAGTTGCCTTGTAGGTTTGTCTAAACTTTTGTTTTTCAACATAGTTTTTGTTTAGACTTGCCTTAGATCTAAACACATGAGTATTCTTTTCAGAGCTCGTGTGTTTAATATCATTTAAATGACCAAATTTAAAATTAGAGTATAAAGGAGTTATCTTAATAATCAGATCATCTACAGGTATTGGTCTTACATCTTTTTCAAGAGAAGAAGATTGAAATCCAATTCCCTTTCTTTTATTCCTACTAACTCCATAGATCATAGAAGCCATCTTGCTTCTGTCTATGCTTTTAGTGAGGAACCTCTGAAAACTAGAGTCATATTTTTCCAAAATATTTTCAGATGACTTAGCTTCAGAGTCAGATTCTTGTTGAACAATTTCCAAATCATTTTTTATTTTTAAATTTATTTCTCTCTGCTCAACAAGTTTTGTTTTCAGATTATCAATCTCAGATTCAAGATTGCTTTTCAGCTTCTTGTTCTTGAGTTTGATATTATTGTAGCTTTTCAAGACTTCAGATAACACCTTTATAAGTTCATCTTTGGTAAGTTTGGACATTACCTCTTCAGCATCAGAGTCGGAGTCTGACTCAGATTCAGATGATAATTCTTCATTCTGATCTTCTATTCCAGCCATTAATGCCATGTTGGCACACTCTTCTTCTGCTTCAGATTCAGATTCAGATTCATCTGAATCATCCCAAGTTGCCATAAGAACCTTTTTCTTTTTGTCAAACTTTCTCTTGGGTTTCTCCTTGAGAAGTTTGGGGCAGTCATTTTTGTAGTGCCCAGGTTCCTTGCATTCATAGCATGTGACCTCTTTCTTTCCAGATCTTCTGTGTCCAGAAGATTCCTTCCTGTGGTCAGCTTTCCTGAAGTTGTTAAACTTCCTTCCCTTGTGCTTCCAGAGCTTGTTGATTCTTCTGGAAAGCATGGACAGTTCATCTTCTTCTTCAGAAGACGATTCTTCAGAACTTTCTTCTTTTACCTACAAAGCTTTAACAGGTTTGTTAGATTTTAAAGCTATGGATTTACCTTTATCTTTCTTCTGGGGCTCATCTTCCTCCAGCTCTATTTCATGACTTCTCAAAGAACTGATAAGTTCTTCTAAGGAGATCTTATTTAGATCTTTTGCCATCTTCAGTGCAGTCACCATTGGTCTCCATCTGGTGGGAAGACTTCTGATGATCTTCTTGACATGATCTGACGTTGAGTAGCCCTTATCCAGAACTTTCAGACCAGCAGTAAGAATCTGAAATCTAGAAAACATAGTTTCTACATTTTCAGACTCTTCCATTTTAAATGCCTCATACTTCTGTATGAGCGCCAGCGCCTTGGTCTCTTTAACCTGAGAATTTCCCTCATGAGTCATTTTGAGTGACTCAAACATGTCATGAGCAGTATCTCTGTTTGTAATCTTCTCATACTCAGTATGAGAGATTGCATTAAGCAATATAGTTCTGGCTTTGTGGTGATTCTTGAAATCTCTTTTCTGTACTTCAGTCATTGACTTTCTATCAATCTTTTTGCCATCCTCATCAGTAGGATGTTTATATCCATCAATGACCATATCCCAAAGATCAACATCATACCCGAGGAAAAAACTTTCTATTCTATCTTTCCAATAGTCAAATTTTTCCCCATCAAACATGGGTGGCTTGGTACTGATCCTATCTCCTTCATATTTGTTGTTGCAAGTTGATGTAGCTGTTTCCATAATGACAACAACACGAATATCAAAGTATCTTTCTCACAGGATCTTTAACTGTCACGGTTAAGTGGAGCACACGCAGAACCGGAGCTCTGATGCCAACTGAAGGTGAGAAAATTACTTAGAAGGGGGGGTTGAATAAGTAAGACTAAAAATCAAAGATAAGAACACAAATATTTTTATCCTGGTTCGTTGAAAACAACTACTCTAGTCCACCCTCTCAAGAGTGATTTGCCTTTCTCTGTCAAGGACTTAATCCACTATTTAAATCAAACAGATTACAAATAGCAACACCTAAGAACAACTGTTCTTAGTCTTCTCAAGAGCAACTGATCCCAACTGGATCCTCTTAAGGAAAACCTTTTACAAACAATGTAAAACTTTTACAAGAGTAAGAATGCTTCTAATAAGCTGTTATCACAACTGTGATAATTCTCTTAAGTTAAGAATAAAGATAAAGCAAAGTAATATGATTAAGAGCTTTTTGAGATTTGCTTAGAGGAGTGATTTTGCTAGAGATTGGATTTTTGAAGAAGATGGAGTGGACTTCTTTATATAGGCACTAAGATCCAAGAAGTCTTGTTACGTTGAAGGCTGTGCAGAAAAGCCTAGAGCCTTTTGTCTTCACATTGGAGGCTGTGCTGAAACAGGCCTGATGCTTTTTGTCTTCACTTGCAGAATACTTTCCTCAGAATGGAATGCACAGATAAAACCTTTTTGTCTGTGTCCTTGTGTCTAGCACAAAATAGGAAAGAGCTGTTGAGAAAGACCAACGTACATATTTAAATCTTCTTCAAAGTAAGTTCAGCTTTCAACATAAGAATCTGAATCTTCAGAGTCTTCTGATCACGGATCATCTGGATCTTCAGAGTCTTGAAAGTTCTTCAGATTGAGCTGAATCAGAGTATGTGCAGCTTGTGTGCTTGAGCGTGTAAATCCTTCAGAGCAGAGTCTTCTATGCTTTAGAGGCTCCTTCTTCAGAATCTTCAAGAGACAGTAGTCAGATTCTTCTGGGAGCAATGTTCAGATCTTCACTTAAGATGCTCTTAAACTTATGAAGTCTTTCATACAAACAATGTTCAGATGCAATTTTGCTTTCTTAAGATGATTTACTTTAGTGCCTGTAGCAAACAATCTAGAACACGTTTAGAGTATGTAATTCTTGAATACAAAATTTATAATTGTTATCATCAAAACATAGAGATATAACTAAGACACAATCTGTGCTCTTACACATGAGTGACTCTCTGACCCTTTTTTTAGATGTTTCCCACTGTTAGTAATACGCCTAAGCTTATGGAGTGTAGTATGATTTGGCATATGTCGTGATCTCGTCAATCTAGATATCTCTAAATGACATAGTTTTCTTAGGTAAAATTGTGTCAGCGAAGATAGTGGCAGATTTAAGCATTTTTTTAATTTGGAAATGATATCTTGGTAGGTCCATGAATAACTCTTGCACTTTCTCGACATAATTCGAGAATTCTATCAAACATCTGAGCCAATAGCAACTTGAGTATTTTTGGCCTCTTTCTAGTGTGTTCTTGTGTTCAATAAAGATTGTTGCCTCTTTTCTAATTAACATGTCTTTGGGTTGAGAGATTTAATTTTTTTTTCCACTCAAATCTCTTGATTTCTGCATTAGTCTTTTGTTTCTTTTAATGGTGCTTTGATGTTGTAGTGTTGGTATATTTGTTTGGTTGTTGTTTTTGTTTGTTTGTTGTTTTACTAGTTGGTTGGTGATACAACTTGTGTTGGTGATAAATTCTTATTTATACTTGACTTTTGAGTCTAATTTATTAAAATAATTATTTGTTTTTTTTTAAATAAAATATATGAGAAAGTTATATTAGTAAAAAGTATATTAAAATTAGATGTTTATAAACAATCTTTAAAATTTAAAATAAAAATTCAATTTAAAAAATAAAAAAATTAAGGGTTTGGTTGAATGAGTTTTAATTTTAAACTTCTAAAGGTTATTTTGTAAATCAATTTTAAAAGTGTTTTGAAGGAAAAAAATACATGTTTGATGATCTATTTTTAAAATCTATTTTAAAATTGCACAATATTATAAATATATCATTAAGGAAAAATGTATATTCCTCTTTTTAATTTCCAAAATTAAAAATCAAAAACAAACTCTCTAAAATTATTTTAATTTTTTAATTTTTAAAGTTTTAAAATAAAAAATAATTTTATAAAATTATCCTATTAAATCAATTTTATTAATTTTAAATTTTAAAAAACCAAAAAAAAACAATGTTATAAAACCAAATCAAACATGCACTAAATTCATTTATATACAATGGAAGTAGCAGTAGCACTCCCCATTAATGCAATACTAATAAAGAATAAATAAAAATTTATTACTCCAACATTTATTTTCTTCCTTTTGTTAAAAAGAACATACTCCAAAGGAAGAAAAAATAAAATGGATTTTTTTTCTTAAAAAAAAGAAAATGGTAGCAAACTCATGAATGTGATGTGAGCTTCTTCTTCACGTTCACACAATCTCTCTCTCTCATCACGCCACGCTTCATTCTTTGCAGAACCGACAAGCATCACAATTCATCCAGATTCCGCATCTCACCGGAACACACTCCAAAGGTTTCTGCTTTTCATTCTTTCCATGATCCAATTTCGTTTTTCATTCATTTTCATTTCACTGGGTTTTTCAATCTCTTATAAATTTTCATTATTCCCAATTATTATCCTTGTTTCGATTATTCAATGTTGATTCTTTGTAATTAACGAATTTTTGAAGTTAATGCGTTATTAAGACAAGTGTTCTCTTTTCTTTCACTTTATTACTCAGAATTTATTACATTGTATTGATTACTTCTATCTTGTTATTCGATGTAACAGGGTTGATCTCGGTCTTTGATCTCATCATTTCGGGAACTACTATGTGATTTTCATCACTCAAATTACTAAGATTTATGATTCAAATTTTGATATTAGATGTTTTTCTATGGTTGATTTAGTGACATGAGTTTTGATACACAGTTAGGTTCTCCCAGAATGTCTTACCATCCAAGGCCACTTTCTTGGATTGTTGTTTTAGTAGGAGCACTTGCGGTTTTCTTGATTTATGCTTCATTTGTTCTTGTTTCGTCCCCGATTGGTGCTCATGTTCATGGGTATTTTTACGGTATAGGTAGTTCTGAGAAGTTAGATGTGTCTGTTGCTAACGTAAATGATGCTTCTGTTGATAAAAGTTTAGATATTGACGGTAAGAAACCGTCTTTTGATCGGCAAACTGATGCTACTTCGAACTCGCAAATAGATAATAGTGAGTCTAGTTTTGCGAAACTTCCGAAGAAGGAGGATGTGAATGAAACACCTGGAAATAGTTTAGATGCGGCCAATACTAGATTGCCTGCTCAAACAAATTCGCAAGTTGATTCGGCTTCGAGTGCAACTATTCCGGTAGAAGGAGGTACCGGTGCTTCCAATTTGACAGGTAGTGTTAGATCTGAGGAACCCCCTTCTACAGTTTCAATCAATCAGTCCAGTGCTGTAATTACGACCTCCAAAGAGGCCTCCGTGAGTTCTGATAATTCCACATCAACAGCTGTTCCAGAATCAGTTGAGAAGCCGGATAACACAGCCTATGCTGGTTCAGTTAATTCAGGTTACAGTTGCAATCTTTTCACCTGCACTTGCTTGTTTTAAATGCATTATTGTGTTTGGTATTTACCATTTTTGTTTTATATAATCGAGAATAACATAAAACTCTATGTTTTTCTTTACGTCACTCTTTTTTGGAAGCCCGTTGTGTGACATAAAATAGTCTCATTTTAACTCATTACTTGTTAGGATAGGAAACTAGAGAAACTAAAATCAAGAGGATCAAAGTGTATTATTGAAAACTAAACTGGAATTGGCAAAGAAAAATTAGATAATTCAACCCATAAATTTTCTCTTCACAAAGGATATTTCTTTTCACTTACAAGTGCAATTATCAAATTGACAGCTGCTTCAATCCGGTCTTCTATACTAACATTACTACTTTTATCTAACTAAGAATTTTATTCAAGTTAAAACACCCTTTTAGCTATTTGTCTTGTTAATATCATAGTAGCAAAAACCACCAAGGGAGGGATTGATTTAGTCTTTAACACATGCATACATATGTACTGCCTCTGCTTCATACTTTTAAAGGATTTGGGTTGTGAGAGATTGAGAGAGAAAGAAATATATTACAGTGGACAATAATATAGGAAAAGTGATGTTGTTGTCCATATATATTTCTGAGTACAACTATGAGGGCTTGGAATGAGATTCCTTGTATCAACCACTTTAGCTTGATTTTAGTACAATTGTCTAGTAACCTCTCTTTAATTCTGGTTTCTTTTAATTCTCATTTGGGTTAGTTAAGCGGTACGTGAAAATTATTATAATTTTTTTCGCATGTTAATGTCAGCATAAATCTGATGTGTTATGCATGCCACAATGCCTCATATCACTAAATTATATAATCTATAATCTATATCATTGTATTATGGAGAAGTCAATGATATTACTGTACTGGTATGTGGTTAAGTTATCATCCACTAGAACTTCATTTTTTTCAACACAAGGTGATTTATGAGGGCTCGCGGTCAAGTGCGTCAGATGCAAAATTTGACTCTGTTGCTTGTGCTAGCCCCAGAGATTTATCATTCAGTTCCATCCACAGTTTTTACTTTTGTGGTTACATTACATAGTTCTGTTTTGGGTGGATATTTGTGTCATTCTCTACTTCTCTCTCTTTTTGTCATGTCATTCACTACTATCCAAGCCCATTTAACTGTCCATTCTCATTTAACCCACTTAGAGACCATTTTTCCCACAAATAACCACACCATTGTGACTGACTCCCGCCGGACACGCCCTGCTTATAAACATATCTTCATGCCATATATTGTCCGATGTGGAAATCTTAACACTCCCTTTTCAGACTTTTGTTGTCTTAGATTCATAGGATTCAATGACACTTTAGTTACTTGGATGTATCCTTTCAATCTGAAGCCATTTTATATGGCTTGTTTTATAGATTTTGATGAAAACAAAGAAAGGCAAAACTCTTGCAGTGGTGCAGTTTGTATCAACAGTTATAACTTGTTATGTTTAATACGTTTGTGGCTTTCGTTTTGGTGTGCTGTTCATGGTTGCTTCAAATGAGTTTCTTTGAAAATGGCACTAGGTGTTTTCACTTAGTGAAAATATGTATAGTTCTCTTGTTCCAAATTTGCCTTTGATCCAGTGTTGTCGATGGCGGATGACGGAGAGGCAAAATTCCGCCATACCGACCGCTTGCGGATTATGGCAGAAAAATCCGCAATAGCAGCCGATATTTACCATTGCGGCGAGCCCAAAAACCGCCATGTAAATCCGCTATAGCGGCCATGGCGGGGCAATTTGATAACACTGCTTTGATCTATCCAGGTCAAGAAATAAAATGTTTTTCAACCGTCACCAGTTTATGTTCCTTTTCCCGCTTACTTGAATACCCTGTGACCACTTATTGTTGCGTAGTTTGCTGGGTTGGGCGGATAAACTAAACTGTTAAACATGTTAATCAGCTCTAACTTCTCCATCAACTTAGGGATTTACTAACGTGTTTAGGGAAAATGAAAAGAAGATTTAGTGGAATTTTGGTGTGTCTGTTTGTTAAGTCTCTAAATTATAGGTGTTTTTTTCAAAAAGGATCAAAACATTACTTTTGTTCTTGACTTCTGGGATAGACTGTACTATTGAGTTTGGCGATCTATAATCAACATGACAGGAGGAGTATTGACATGATGATGTTTAATAATTGGAATTACTCAGTATGAGTTTTTTAATTGGATTTTCCATTCTGTTGTGTAGGCTGTGATCTGTACCATGGGAATTGGGTACATGATCCACTGGGACCGCTATACACAAACAATACATGCCCTGTATTGACACAGATGCAGAATTGCCAGGGCAATGGGAGGCCTGACAAGGATTATGAGAATTGGCGATGGAAACCCTTTCAGTGTGACATCCCACGATTTGATCCCCGGAAATTTTTGGAGCTCATGAGAGGAAAGACCTTGGCTTTCATTGGAGATTCTGTAGCTCGAAACCAGATGGAGTCAATGCTGTGTATTCTGTGGCAGGTTATTTCTTTGATTCCTTATTGAACTATTTTTGCATTGAAAATTGAATGATTTCAAGATTATAGAAATATTAACTGTTTTACTATCAACATTGTTGCTGCATATTATTTGTGATTGTTGCTGCATATTATTTGTCATTGTTTGACTTCAAATATTCATATATACATACATAGGGTTTTCCATATACATGCTTATGTGTTCTTAGTGCATCGATTGAGCATCCATTTTATCACAGCTAGAAGCGTAACTAAAAATATGGTACTTTCAGGTAGAGGTACCGAAGAATCGGGGAAATCGTAATATGCAACGATATTATTTTAGGTCCACATCTGTAATGATAGTCAGGATATGGTCCTCATGGCTTGTCAAAGTAACATCCGAACCATTTGATTATGCTCCAGCTGGTGTGGATAAGCTCCATCTTGATGCCCCCGATGTGAAGTTAATGGAACATATCCCAAATTTTGACGTGGTCGTCCTTTCATCCGGCCATTGGTTTGCTAAGAAGTCTGTATATATCTTGAACAATGTGATAATGGGAGGACAGTTGTGGTGGCCCGACAAATCTAAGCAAATGAAGATCAACAATGTTCAAGCATTTGGTATATCTGTTGAAACGTTTCTTACTGCTCTTGCTACACATCCAACATACAAAGGTCTAACAATTGTGAGGTCCTATTCGCCCGATCATTATGAGGGTGGAGCCTGGAACACCGGTGGATCATGCACCGGGAAGGTTAAGCCTATTCCAGTCGGTGAACTAGTAGAAAACGGGTACACGAATACGATGCACGGGCAACAGATTACAGGTTTTAACAATGCTGTGAAAAAGGGTACTACAAATACATCAAAGTTGAAGTTAATGAACATTACTCAAATGTTTCAATACCGACATGATGGTCATCCCGGGCCTTACAGGAGCCCCGACCCAAATAAGATCACAAAACGTGGCCCAGATGGAAGGCCGCCGCCACAGGATTGCTTGCATTGGTGCATGCCAGGTCCAGTTGATACCTGGAATGAACTGGTGTTGGAAATCATCAAAAGAGAATATGAAGGTGGAAGTACATCATGAGATATTACACGCACCTCTCAAGATATGCTTGAATACCGCAAACATCCCTTTACCGCCCCGAATGCGCTTGGAGGTTGCAGTTGCACAGACACCTCTGGTTCTGTTCAAATTACACCCCCTCTATTTTATTTTACATAATAGATAGGAGGTGTTTGTAATCAAGGGAAGTTGAATGTCTTTTACTATAAAGAGGTGATGAATGTGTCATTTAAGCTGCATGTTGTGCTTTTGAACCCATGAGGTTGACTTGAGTAGACTTTACAGAGAGAGGTAAAAGTAGGGTCGGCTTGTATTTTTTTTCACAGAATAATAATTAATATATGTTATATAGAGAGAAATTATTTATTTTGAATGATCGGGATGGTAAGCTGCTAGCTTATCAAATGTGTTGATCTGATCAGCAAGTTCAGTTATTAAAACATCATGTTACATTGGGAATGTGTTTCTAACGTTAGCAAGCCAAATTGGTTTATCATTTACTAGTACAAAATAAAGTGTCACAACCTCAGTTTGACTCAAGGTGTGTTTTGTTTACTTATATTTCACCGAATGTGATCAAAATCGAGAGTATAATATAGGACTTATTTCCCCCCACCCCCACTAATTTTATATCAAATTTGTTTTTGAAGTATAAATGTTTGATTTAAATATCACTTGACATTACGGGATAAAGGGGATTTTTTGAATGTACTTTTATGTTTTTTTCCACCGCACGAAAATAGTCAAATGTTCATAAATTTTGGAGATGTATCTCTGAACGCACTTAATTATCAGTTTAAGTTAAAATATTTTGAAAATGCATCTTCGAACATAATTCAGAGATGCATTTCTAGAATGTTTTGCAGTTTAAATCGCGCTAGAATCATTTTCCTTCCTCATTTCTCATATTTCTCAAAACTTCTTCAAACTCAATTTTTTTTCATCGCCAAGTCCAAAATCAAGCAACCAAGGTCAAAGGAACTTCAATCAACATAAGAAACATCATCAAACACTTAAGCAAAGTGAAAAATTATAAGTTTTTTGATGTTTTGAATAATTTTTGAGTTTTTATGTAAATGAGTAGAAATTGATGATTAAGGTATGAAATTAATAGAAATTGGATGATTGATAGTTTATACATAGTGTAAAACATGATAGTTGACTTAAAATGATAATCAACGCAATATTTTTTGTGTTCCTTGTCTGTATTGCCATCATTGACAAAGCTGCTGAGTTGCAGAAAATTCTGGAGATGCATCTCTGAAATTTTTCAACGTTTTAGTTTCCTAGCAACTAGAGATGCATATCCAGAATTTTCTCAGTATTTTTTATTTTTATTTTCATGCTTGTTGTGTTGTTTGCTTGCATTAATTGTCAGCTTTGCTTTAATTTATAGACATAATGGCTGATGGACACGATAGACTGAGTCACGAGAGGGTTGCACAACATGCATCAGTGCAGGGGAAGAAAAGTCAGCAAGTTTCAGAAGCTCCTGGTCCTTTTGGTCATGCAAAGTCATCTACTTCTAGGGACCGTGCTCCTCCTCATGCTTCTCCATCTTTTTCTTTCCGTAGAAGACGAAGTTCACCTATCGACATATCACTTACTTCATCCTCTCACAGACGTCCTATTTAGGCGCCTGAAGTACCCAAGTCACCACTGCCACCTCCTACTGCTGATACTGTAGATGCTTTTGAGTTAGTGTCATCTCTTACTGCTAATTCTGCTGATCCATTGTCAATTTCGGAGGGTGGGGCTGCTGCGGATGCTGAGCCAAAGGCATTTGGAGGAGGCTTTGTAGATTTTTCAGACATATCTATGACAAAGAGGTGACATTAGTTGGATTCATTCTTTTTTATTTACGTTAATTTTAGTTGACAAATTTTTCACATTGACTTTTATTTTTTTCAGAAGCGTGATCCGCAGAAGTTTATTAACCATGGACAAAAGATTAATGGTTTGCCTCAGTTGAATGAGGATTGGTTTTAGGCACTTTTGTCCTTATTTGGCCTGAAGGACTTGTGCATGACCGGTTATACTACGGTCATCCACGAGATGCTTAATGCATTCGTGGAGAAATGACACTAGGTGGAAGACGAAGTAGGTCACAGGCAACATCACACTATTGACGATAATATATATTGGTCTTTTAATGTTTCTTTGTTATTTAGATTTCATCTTTGCAAAGTCATTACTGATAATTCTTGTGTTTCAAACTTTTCATTTCAGGCTTGGATCCTCCAACACTTCCTGCGCATCTCTGGCTGGGCGAGTGTACCGACTTACTCTGAGGATATGCCTTGTGCTACTGCTTTTTCCCCGCTCAAAGGGAACCAGGCATAAAGCCTTTTAGTGTGTATCTTGACTGTTCAGTTGCCGAGGACATGCACTTCAACAGGTATGACAATCACCGTGAGACGCGACCATTTGACGAGATAATGCTACATTCAAGATGGTTGGCTTGCATATCGCATCTCACTACTCCTCATTTGCTTGAGCGCATCATGCAGCAGTTCGGTTACACTCAGACAATTCCTAGAAACCATGTTGTCTTTGCTCTTCCTACTTTGACACGTAGATAGATAAATAACATGTTTAATGATTATGAGAGTCATTTGGTCTTGGAGGAGGTAAGGAGTACCATAGTTTTGAGCAACTTGAGCTACGTCGACGAGTATACCATATGGTTCTTCAGTGTGTCACATCCGTACATGGTGCATGCTACTCCAGGAGATTCATTAAGGCCAGCTCACCAAGAGATATAAGAGGAGGAGCAAACACAGTTAGATCATACTGAGGATGTCTTGTCTATATGTCATCACATAATGGAGATTGCGCAGACAGACATTGACACAGGTATATTCCCTGATGGGTCTGATGTGAGGCAAGTCCTAGATACCATCATGACAGAGGAACGACAGACATTGATGTATTAGAGACAGCGCCGGAGGGTGAGGGGCATTGATAGCCGAGGAGTCTGAGGAGGTAGAAGAGTCAGAGGAGGCAAATGAGATATAGTCAAACATACACAATAGTGCATTAGTATATAGTATTAATACTATGTATTGTATTTTATTTTGACATCATGTTACTCTATCATTGTTCTCGATTTTTTTTTACATTTGTTGGTTTTTTATTTATTCATGACATTTTTTGACCATCTGGATTTATGTACCACATTTTTTGCATTTTGATTCTAAGGTTTAAATCTTCATCTGAATACACGTAAACAAAACATAACATAACATGATGAGTTATGTTCTGATAGGTTATAGAGATACATCTCTGTAAAATAAACGAAGATGCATCTTCGGATTATTCTAACGTTCAATCTGAACTTGGTGTGTCCAGAGATGCATCTCCAAAATCTGGGGCATTGAAGTATTTTTGCGTGGTGGCTAAGAAACATAAATGGTGCATTAAGAAATTCCCAGGATAAAATATCACTAGCTTTCGTGGCCTTTTATGGGTCTACGTAGAGACATGTGCCCATTCCTGAAGATTTTTACATACCACCATTACACTTAAACACGACACTCTCATATGTCGTGTTTTTACTACATGGGTATTGTATATTGAAAATTCATTTCACTATTTATTTGTAACATTTTGAATTTTTAAAAAAACTGTGTGAATAAAAGTTCTTTTTGTCATTGGTTCTAGTTTTGATGAAGACAAACACATAAATAAAAAGAAGTCAAAGTTTGAATACTAGAACAATTAAGTTCAAATTATCAAAAAAATTTGGAAAATTAATGGAAGAATCAATATGGTTGAATATGCGTTACAATTCAAGTGTGTGTGTGTGTATCTCAATTGCTCGGAAAAATCATGCATATTCATCTTAAACCTTTCATACATCTTTTAAAATAATTTTAAAACTAACCATTTTGTTTTTCGTAAATTGTGGCATTTGAAACAGCCATAATTTGCACAATTTACTCAAAATATAAAAACACCTTACTTTTTGAAAATGTGTCAGGTGTAACCGGTTACATGATAACACGAAATCATATAGATATTTTTATGCATAATTCAACTAAAGTTTAACCGTTTTCGATCCGATTTCGGGTTATTTCCGTGTTATTTGTCTGATGTTTTGCAGGTATTCAACGATCACGTCTAAACAAGGCAACATGAAGAAAAGAAGCAATCTCAGATGAAATACGGACGAAAAAGGAGTGAAAACATCATGAAAAGCGCAGGAAACTGTTTTTGCTGATGTGACGACCGTCACAGCTCCATGACGGGCGTCACACGGGTGGCGACCGTCACACCTTGTGACGACCGTCATGCAGGCAAAAACGCCCCACTTCAATTACACGTTAAAGAATCAGTTCCAATTCCCACAGAGTGGACCATGACTCCCTAAATTATCTGCCTCAAAGTCCATCATCTTCAAGGATAACCGTTGGAATTCCACTTCTATAAAAAGGGAAGAAAGGGACCTCAGAAAGTGTGCTGCATTCATACAACGAAGTGCTGCCAAATTTATTTTCCAGAGCATATTTTCCAGCAATATTCTTATTTGTTTCTCTTTACCTTTCCTGTATTCCATTTTTCATTCTTCTGTAATTTCTACTTTCACTGTACGATCAAATTGGCATTAGAGATCAGAATCCTGCCAACATCTGTGGAGGATCTGCCCAAAGGCCAATTAGCATATTTACAGGTTTCTCATTTCAATCGATTCCAGTTTTATTATAATGCAAATCGTTATTTATTATTTTTATTTATATTTTATCTTTCTCAAATCCATGTCTAGCTAAACTTAGGTAATCGATATGTAGTAATAATTCGAATGGGATTTGATAACAATTGGTTGAAAAACCTTCTTTTCAAAAGTAACTTATGGTCTGAGTGTTTAAAATTGATTTACTGAATAAACTTCGTCGCGAAAGCGAGAACTTATTTAAAAGTAGTTTTGCCACGAAAGTGGGAAATTAATTAAGATACGAACCAACAAGCGAAAGCTGCGGTAAGGTCAGATAGTAAACACTAGTCATTCATTTTAATAACAG